GTACGCCAGTTTTGACGTATATTGTATGTATAAACTTACCTTTAGAAATATCGGTCAGTTTTGTTGTTATATTTTTGTCTGCTTCAAGAACTTTCACCATCTCGGTTATACCAACTTTCTTTGCTTTATGAAAATATTTTGGTTCAGCAAATATTGCTATTCTATAACATTTACCATTGTTTGTATAAAGAACTATTCTATCAATGAACTTGTATTGTTTGTGTGTGTAAACTTTGTTTTGCTTCAATTCGAAGAGATACTCAAATACGTCCATCTTTTTATTCTAAGTAAAATGTCATTTCCGAAAAATAGAAGCGTAAGTGTTTCAAAAGGTTTAATGGCGGTGGCAGATGTGAAGTTAAATTCACCAACTCAAACAAACAGTCAAAGTGTTGTTGTCAATGTCAAAGAAAGAGATGTTGAAGTGGGGAAACCATACGAAGACGAAGATGGTATAACAATAGTTCCTGTAAAAGAACCAACATATCCTGAAGTTAGCAGAGATTTAAGTTCTGTTGCAGATATTCGAAACGACTACCACAACTTAAAGACAAACTTAAAACTCAGGAGAAGATTTGTCAGGCTTTGGGTATAATGTTAAACTTGGTCGAACACAACCCTGTAAAAGTGAACTCATATGTCATTGCACCTCATGAAGTTTTGAAAGAACTATTGAAACTTTTGACAGAGGCAGACGATATAAACATCAAAGAAATAGAACCCGACGTTAGTTGCTGTGGTGTTTCATACAATGTCATTGACAAGATATACGTTATGAAAGGAGGTGAAACGTTGAACTTAAAATATAGTTTCCCAGACGTCATAAAAATATTTGACGACCACAACATTTCATTAAAATTTACTTGCTAAGTAAATGGCAGAAGACATAGTGGTTTATACTATTACGACTAAAAACCCTGAGTCATATAATTCTATAACAACAAACTTACAAAGTCCTCAAGGACGATATTGTAAACTGACCTTAAACACGATGACGACTAAAGCCTGTTTTGCTCTTTTGACACCAGAAGACTTTGTTGTTGTGAATGGTAAAAAATACTTCTTTGAAGATACTTACTCAGATATACCACCAACAGGTTTTGTTGACTTATTTAATACTTTAAGGACGGATGTAACATGTGCTGCAACTAGAGCAGGTTTCATTATGTTTGGATGTCCGACTGAGTTTACTATAAACGATATGAGCTATAATACAAAACTTATATCTGGTTTTTACTACCAACAGTTTCCTATAACAGGAAAAGGTGTCATACAAGGAATGTCTGTTCCATTGACTTTAAGTACACCAATTTATATATTGTTTCAAACTTAGGTTCAAAGTGTTATTCGAATGTCGACAGAAACTACTATGACCAAAAGATACTCATGCGTATAAACAACACTTTCTCTGCTGGTTTGCCTATTGTTCATTCGAATGCAGAGTTTTCAGCTTTAGTAAACTCAAACACTTTAGCAAACATAAACTTAACCTTAGTTGACGCAAACTTTGTTCCTGTAAAACTTTTATGTCCTATGTATTTGTCAATGACGGCAGAAAGTTTCGAATTGGAAGATGCAACTGGTGAAAGTATTGTATTACAAGAACAACTTCAACAACAAATAGCTCAAGAACAACAAATGCAACAAATGGAACAAATGCAACAACAAAGTCAAGAATAAAAAAATATTTTTTTTTATTTTTATAAAAATGTACAGAATAGATGTTTCAGATTTTTATGACTTCCAAGCGTTCAGAAATATGTGTCCATTTAGAGACTATAACAAAGCAGTCGAGAATTTGAAACGTTTAGTCATTTATGTCGACTCTGCCCCAGAATGTTATTATGAAAGAATGGGATGTTGTCTTTAACAAACCAAGAGCAACAATAGTTTCAGAACAAGAATGTAGACAGAAACTTAAGAAAATAAAAGTCGTACAAGTTGGTATGAAGATGTTAGATGCTTGGGATATCTTATTGTCAAAGTTAGAAGATTTTTCAGTTCGTGGTATAAAGTTCTATACACCTTCTCCAAACTTCTATTCTATCTTCACTGGATATAAATACGAACAAGTAGAATGGAAAGAAAATATTATAGAAGCTTGGTTAGACCATGTCAAAGAAATTATATGCAATGGAAACGAAAGAGTTATGAGTATATCTTATGTTGGTTTGCAAACATCTTACAACATCCAAGTGCTAAAAATGAAACTGCTCTCATTATAATTGGAAAACAAGGAACAGGTAAGAACACATTCTTTACAGATATCTTATGCAAACTGTTAGAGGGCTATTCGAACCCGAATATGACAAACTTAGAAAACATCTGCGGTAATTTAACTCTTCAATAGAGAATATGAAACTTATAGTATGTAACGAACTTCAAAGTATAGATACAACAAAAGTTTTGAACTCAGATGCTTTGAAGAGTCTTATAACAGACAAAGTTGGAGTTGTTGAAAGAAATATAAAGACCAAAGAGTTTGTGAAAATGTTGCAAACTTCGTCATGGTTTCAAACAATGCCGTTCCGATGAAGTTAGAAAGTTCTGACAGAAGATATGTAGTTGTCAGAACGTCAGATTCTCATATGCAAGATACAGAATATTTTGACGACTTAGCAGAAACTTTGACACCTAACTTTTACAACCACTTGTTCTCATATTTCATGACATTAGATATTTCAAAGTTCAATCCAAGACAAATTCCATATACCGAAGAGAGACAAACATTGTTAGAAGCAAACAAGAGTGTATATGAACTGTTTATAGATGAAACTGACTTTGAGTGTTTAGATGAAAGGTCATTGTACGATTCATATAAACAATATTGTCAAGAGTATGGTTATATGGCAGCTTCTAAACGTACATTCTTGGCAAATGTCAAAAGTCTTTTAGATGTTCAGAACGGCGTATATACAAAGAAAAATTTTTCTGAGTAAATTTAAAAAAAATATTTTTTTATCCGATAGAAAAGATGACGAAATATATTTCAGTCAACAAGTACATGACAGAAGTCAAAGAAGAACTAGACCCATTCGCTTATTTGAATGTTTACTTCTACCATTTTGAAAAGTCTACATTTGACAAAGTTTGGAACATCGAACCAGTTAAGTTTGCTATTGTGACTAAAAATGGTGCGAAATTTGAAGACTTAGACATAGAAGGTTTGTTAGCAGTCAAAGAAAATTTTGACAGAAGGTTTTCAAACCTTAAAGAAGGCAAAGCATACAAACTTGTTATACCTTATGAACCAAAGAAAGCAGACGACTATGAATATTATGAGTCTAAGATAGTTGAAGTTCAAGGTAAATTGGGTAAAAAGATTTTAGAGTCTAAGCCAGTGTTTGCTCCTAAAGAGGAAGAGAACATTGACATTGACCCAGAAATGTTCTAAAAATAAAATTTTATTTTTACATGTCAAATTTCTTTTTCTCTGGAACTGGTTCAGGTTCTTTCTTCTCTTCTTCTACTTTCTTTTCTTTCTTCTCTCTCTTCTTCTTCTTCTCTGGTGGAGTTATGTCAAACTTCTCAGAACCATATTTATGTAAAAGTTCTTTGTCCTTTAATAGCTCTTCTATTCTGTTTCCTATTTCATCTTCAAGAACAGCGCATGTGTCTTCTTTGCATTCTAAGAACTTTTGTTGGACTTCATCTTTCCAATCGGCGTCATCTCTGTCAACAAGTCTGTCATTGACAAATTTTAAGACTGCTCTGCTTAATGTTTTATGGTTCTTGTCATATTCCCAGAAACAGAACTTTAGAACAAATTCACCTTTCTTGTTTACACTATGTAAGATTTTATGGTCGACAGAAGTTTTAGAGTCAAAAAGCTTGTCTCGAATATAGATAGCGAAATCACTAGACATTTTCTAAAAGATAAAAATTTTAATTTTTCTAAAAATATGTTAGAAAAAAAGTTTGCTGACATTGACAAGAAATTTGAGAATGTTTTGAAGAAGAACAAGAGGAAGTTAGAAAATGCTCAGATAAAGCCTATACATGACAAGTTCTTATTTGCTCAGAATGGTATAACAGGTCTAATTGCACCACCTGGGTCGGGTAAGACTTTCACTTATCTTAAAATGGCTGCACAACAACAAGAACTAGATGAGAAGAACCCATTCTATGAGTTAGTTGTCATTTGTAGTACTTCTGGTCAATTTGACCAAACCGTCAATTCGTTCAAAGATATTATAAAAAAGTCAAAACTAGTATGTATAAAAGACTCTGAGTTGTTGGATTGGATAAAGAAGTACCAAAGAAGAGTTTTGAAGTATAATGCTATAAATGAGTATGTCAATTCTAAGTTTAAAGACCCAAATGAGGAAATGCAGAGAATATTAGAGAAGAAACACTTCAGAAACAAACAGAAAGAGATAGAATACATTTCGAAGAAATTGCAATCTTACGATTGGAAGACTTACCCTCACAGATGTCTTCTTATCTTAGATGACTTTGCTTCTCATCCTTTGTTAAAGAACAGAGAACAAGACATGTGTCGAATTCTTAAGAAGCTCAGACACTTTAACATCTCTGTTGTCATTTGTGTACAGACAGCAAAGAGTTTAAGTAAGGATGTTAAAAGAATACTTACTGATATCATACTTTTCCCTGGATTGTCCGAAGACGATTTCATGGAACTTATGAAAGAGTCCATGGCAGGTAAGTTTGACAGACATGAACTATGGGAGAAGTACAAAGTCATACAAGACCCTCATACTTCTTTCAGAATTCACATCTACGCGAACAAAGTTCAAATTGTAAAAAGTCAATAAAAATAAAGAGTTTTGTGCTGAATTCAATAAAAATATATTTTTAGGGTAGATGGGTATATCTAACCCGATTTCTAACCTCATTTCTACCCCATATGTCCTTACTGAAAAAGTACGTGTTCCATATGTCATTTTACTCAGAATTTTACTCAGAATTCAATAAAAATATATTTTAGGGTAGAAGGGTATATCTACCCGATATCTAACCTCTTTTCTACCCCAGTTATTTTATAAGCGTTTTACATGGTAAACATTGTGAATTCGTGAAATTCTAAACAATTTCGTAGCTTCTATTTCTTCTGTCAGTACATCGAATGTTTTAACAATGCCGAAGGTTTCTTTATATTTCTTCTTGACATCTGAAAGAAGGAAATCGTCAGCTGTTGGATAGTTTTTGTTCAGAAATGTCAACATGTCCATTTTATCTTCTGCTGGTTTCTCTACTTCTTTCTTTAAGTCAGCATAGTCGTTTCGCATACGTTCTATCTCTTTGACGGAGTAGTTATATTTCCTCATTGCTGCTTTACATTTTGAACATTGTGGGTTCATTTTGCATTGTACATTGAAATCTTACCTGCTAGTATGACTAAGGCGTCAATTGCTCTCTTTAACTCAAAAGTTGCGGGTTTTATTGTTCGTTCCATACCTTACCTCTATCTTTATCTCTTATTTCCCAACACATTTTGCAACTAACGAAACAAAGTTGTCGTAGGTCTTAAACTCAGATTTGTATATGTCAGAGATGTTCTTATATACCATGTCGCAATCTTTGTCCATGACTTTGTGGTTGCAATGAAATCCAAGAACTCATAGTTACCTTTCGTATGAACTTCTTTATTTCTACTGAGTCAGTTGCTTTGACTTCTATTTCATCGAATTCAGGAATAGTAGTTTTGTTGTTGGATTTCAGGCAATTTGGGTAAATGGTCAATAATGTCCTGCATTTCATAAAGATACTGTTCATTTGTTTCATCTTTCGCACTACAGTCTAAATTACTTGTTAAAAGTTCTTGCTTTATCTTCTGGATTTTTGTTTCGAAAGTATATGAAGAAGGAATGAAGCTTTTCATCTCTACTAACATTGAAGTTGGGTTCATGACTAAAGGAGTTTGGTGCTGTTGTTGCTAACATGTTCTTACAATAAAAATAAAAAAATATTTTTTTAAAAAAACCAACTTTATTTTTTATTTCGGGAAAACTCATGACAAATTCAAGAGGGTAGAAAAGAGGTTAGAAAAGAGGTTATATCTAACCTTCTACCCTAAAATATATTTTTGCCGAATTCATGAGTTTTGGTTGAAAGAATACGGTGGAGCCAAAAGTGGCTCGACCTCAAAACAAGCATTTTCTGTATAAAATTCATGAAAATTCATGAGGTTAGAAAAGAGGTTAGAAAAGAGGTTATATCTAACCTTCTACCCTAAATATATTTTTGCGAATTCAGCAACAAAATTCAAATTGTAAACGGTTTAATAGAAAAAGTGTTATTTTTTCATGTCCGAAGACTCGAAGGTGCAACACTTCCAAAATACCGACGAACTCAGAAGAGCAGCATGGCAGTATGTTCTTGACAACTTCTTTGAGTTCTCCAGGTACACCTTGGAAAATGCTGAAGAACTCCGACACAGAGAATTTGGAGAAATTGCACTCCAATACTACCTTGACAAACAAAGGGTAAACAAAGGGTAAACAAAGGGTAAAATAAGACTAAAAACTTAACGTTTAAAAAGTGACATTTTTATGAGCTCCGAGTCACCGAGAAAACTTGGTCAGATGTTAGCAGCTTACTTCCCTGAGGAGGATGGAAGCGTTACATACATAAGGTTCAAAAACAACGAACCTGGAATTGCGTACCAAATTCGCAATTACATGACCATGGAAGAGTACGAAAGGTTTCTACAAGAGAAACCAGCTCTAAACAACTCAGAAAGAAAGAATAAAAAGTTTAACTCGTAATTGTTTATTTTTTTACTTGTATGGGCAAGCTGCAAGAATGAAGTCGACTATCTCGGTCTTTGTCTTGACCAGTTGGACTGCTCTTGCGAGTACGTCTGTTTTACGGTCTCCAGCTGGTGTCTGACCTTCGTAATTGCGCATGTTCTTGAGAGCTCCAACTGTAAATGGTTGTAGGATGAAGAGTCTCTCAGACTGCTTGAGGTAGTCTCACGGTCACGAACCGAATCTGTGGTACGAGTCGAATCGGTCGACCTTAGGGAAGAGACTGAAAGCCTGTCTTCTTCCATAGGGGCTGTGGCATACTCTTTGCGTAAACGGTTCAGACCTTCTTCGAACTCTTGGTCTCTCTTCGATTGGGATTGAGATTGGAATTGGGGTGGAGGGTTTGACATGAACATCCAAGGGTTAGGGAAGTAAGGCATGGGTTGAGGAGGGTAGTTTGGAAAGCCTTGTGGTGGGTAGTAACCTTGAGGTGGGTAGTAACCTTGAGGTGGAAATTGGTAGTAATTCGGAGGTCCTTGTTGGAACTGAGGTTGCTGTGGGTAGCCTTGTGGAGGTGGAACCTGTTGTGGTGCTGGAGCATGCTGTTCTTCTGGCTGTGGAACGGGTTCAGTAGGTGGGACGTCGGACATTCGTTTGTGTCTTAACCGTCTTTGTTCTGAAACAATATAATATTGTCTTGAAAAAGTACAACATTGTCTTGAAAAGTACAATATTGTCTTGAAAAAGTACAACATTGTCTTGAAAAAGTACAACATTGTCTGAAAAAGTCAACATTGTCTTGAAAAAGTACAACATTGTCTTGAAAAAGTACAACATTGTTCTGAAAAAGTTCAAGACTTGTTCTGAAAAAGTACAGCTGTACTCAAATTTGAGAGACATTGTTCTGAAAAAGTACAACATTGTTCTGAAAAAGTACAACATTGTCTTGAAAAAGTACAACATTGTCTTGAAAAAGTACAACATTGTCTTGAAAAAGTACAACATTGTCTTGAAAAAGTACAATATTGTACTGACTCAGTATGGAGCTTGACCCCTTAGACGAAGCAATTTATCTAATTGAGGTAAATGAAACCGTGAAGGAATATCTCAGCAAGTGCAAACCAAGCAAGTCCATTGGCTTCTGGTTGTCCAAGAATAGTGTCTTAAAGTTGGAAATTGAAACAGGTGTTGCAATTCAAGTTCCAGAAGGCACTGCATTCGATGATATTAAGGATGTGAAGAAAGAAGCCCTCTTGAAGTTCTTCATGAAACGTCCTTGGATACTACTTCCATATCGTGAGAGCCCAATTCCACGAATTACACAAATTCTCAGAGCACTACTTCACTACTCTGGACAGCCGTTCTTCATAACCTCAGAAGGCGACATCCAACCAATTCAGTAAACATCTCATTTTAACTTCACTTTTTTTATGTTTTTACTCACACTCGTACTCAACAGGTTTGTGTACAACTATTTCAACTGTGAACCTTGTATTGACCGGTCTTCCTGCAAATGCAAGTTCGGTCAATACACAATTTATGGTGGCAAGAAAGACAGTGGGGAATGTTATTCTGACATCTGTTGTTGCGCTCGAGAGAGAATTGAAATTCCAGACCCAACTCCAACAAGAACTCTCAAGTTGCCGAAGACTCATGTGAAGAAGAAGCCTTCTGGTAAGTTTCTTATAGCCATCTATATGGCACGCTTTGAGTAAAAACATTTTTTTTTTCTTTTTTGAATGAAGCAAGTTAAATTCGTCCCACACCAATCTCAATGGACCGATGAAGAGTTTCAAGCTATGGTTGAAGGTGTTGAGAACGACATAGACGGCGAACTTGAAGGAGCTCAAACCACAATTGCAACCAAAATTGCACAAGTCAAGGAACAGATAGCTCCACTTAAAGCTACCAAAGCTACTCTTGACCTCATGGATAGTTACCGTTTAGAAGTAAAGAGTGGAATAAGACAATTAAAATTAAAACTTCTAAACTACGAAGCTATACTCCAAAAGTTAGCAGAAATGAGAAGACTTTACCAGAGCTACTTACATGTAAGGGACTTACCTTCAAGCAGTCCGACCAAAGATGAATTTTCTGACATTGTCCCAATTTTGTCCGAAAGTCAGCTCAGATGTTTTGAACTGCTCCCAACATATCCAGAATATGAACGTTTGCCTGAACTCTTCCGCAATCTCAAAAAACGTTTTTTGGTTCTCATGTTCGAAACTTTTATCGGAAGAGACAACAAACGTTCAGAAGAAGAACAAGATATTATTTTAAACTTGTTGTATGACTTAACCGTCATAACAAGCTTTTTGAAGTAAAACCGTCATTCTCAAACCACTTCATTTTTTCGATGTCCGAACAAGCACCGAAGCCGAACACAATGGCAGATGTCCTTTCAATGTTGCCAGACAAGCGCCCAGTTCAAATTCAAATTTTGAATTTGAAAGCTCATCTGACAAACACCGTTAAGACTCTCCAAAGTAGTCTTATGGAAGAGATGACCAAGCTCAAAGCCGATGTCCTCATGAACCAAGCTTCCAATGAGAAATGCCTGAATGATTTGACGGAAACCTTGCGCATTTACGCGAGAGAGAACCGAGACCTTGCCAGACTCATCTACCGTTTCTTCGAAGAGATAGACGCCATCTGGAAGGTACTCGGAAAGGACAGAACCTCCAACACCGTAATTCGTGAACACAGAATTGAAGAAGGAATTGTCGAGGAAGAAGAGAAGAGAAACAGAAGAGAAGAGGAAGAAGAGGAAGAAGAGAAACACGAAGAAGAGGAAGTTTGGGCAACCCTTGTTGCCGATGACGCTTACGAAATTTCCCAACCCTACCCATACCAAATCCGCAACAAGGAGACAGGCAAGGTTCTTACCCCAGTCCTCAACAACTTGGGACACTTGAACCTTACCCTTCGGAATCGCGGTTCAATCTCCATGGGCAAGCTTGTCGCAATTCAATGGGTTCCAAATCCAACAAGAAGACGAAGGTCAGACACATTGACGGTGACAAGCTCAACAACCGTAAGGAGAACCTCGAGTGGTTCTAAGAGTAAAAAAATTTTATTTTAGGGGGAAACCCCGAGTAAATTTAGGTGTTTAGTTTTAAGTGGGTTAAATTAAGGGTAATTTGGACAATTAGCTCCCGACCTCTGAATTGGACTCTTTCGTCATCCCAGTTGCGTAGGAGGTCGTCCCAGAGGAGTTGGTAGAATTGCCAATCCAAGGACGATTTGTCCTCCCAGGCATTGAGGATGTACTGCTCGTAGAGTTCATGACCTCTGCCTTGCACCAGACACCCTCTCCCTTGGAACGTAAGGCTTCTTCGAAGTGCTCGAATGCGATTGGGCGGGACCATCTGAAATGACACTTTTTGTCCGTTTGGTCAATGTTCGTGTCTCGTGCCATAGTCGACGAAAATACAAACAAACAGGTTATATATGAGTTTGAGACCAAGAATGGTGTAACTCGACCTGTCCGATTCAAATTCGAATAAAAATTTTTATTCATGCAATGTTTTATTTTCTGTGCCGTCTTCAAGTATGCCCCAGTACTTACGCTTGGAGAG